ACAATTCCATTCGCCTAACATTATGCTCTTTTATATATTTGACCTTAATGACCTAAAGTCCATACCATGGTTTGTAGTTATAAGCTAAAGTCATGTGTGAAATGGGTCGTATAAGTTATATGAACAGAAAATTATAGTTGAAATTGGTGTGATTTTAATTAAACCATATATGGTAAAATTGACCCTTTTCATGAATAAAGATATTAGGCCTGTAAACGAACAGAACGCACACGAACGGATGTATGTTCATGTTCGTTCATTTAATAAATAAACGAACATAAGCGAACATGAACATAAATGAACAAATTTTTTTTGTTCATGTTCGTTCATTAAGGAATATAACTTGTTCATTAAAGAATATAGCTTGTTCATGTTCGTTCATTTAAATAATAAACGAACATAAACGAACACAATAAACGAACATAAACGAACACAATAAACGAACATAAACGAATAAAAAAAAACTTATTCGAACACAACAAACGAATGTAAAAAAAGTAAACAACAAGAATAACAACTTAAAATTCATTAATATAACCTGCTACTTTAGAGTTAATTTGTTCGAATACAACAAAAACATACATAAATCATAAATAAGTTATATGAACATAATAAAGTCTTAAAAGTTAATTTGTTCAACAAAACAATCTTCTTGAAATCCAAACAACTTCAATAATCTTCGTAACATATTCAACTTGCCCTCTGTTCGAACATAAATGAACATAAATGAACGAACATAAACGAACATATAATCGAACGTTCACGAACGTAAATGAACGAACGAGCCCTTTGTTCATGTTCGTTCATTTAATTAAACGAACGCAAAATCTTGTTCATGTAATAAATAAACGAATATAAACAAACTTCCCGCCGCACGGTTCATGATCGGTTCGCTGAACATTCAGTTCATTTACATCCCTAAAAGATATGTTAGAATACTGGCATAATTTAATCGATTTTAAACAAATTAATTATGACTTTTAAAATTAGTGAGTTTAATTGTGTCATTTTAGCTAAGGGAAACATTTTTAGTTTAATCATTGAACTTGGAATTCAATTTAATTGATTGGAGTTATTAGGCGTGGATTTTTGTATACCAGTTTATTGCGTGAGTTCAAATTTAAAAGAAAATAAGTTTAATTTGAAGATGAATGGATAATTAATATCAATTCACAAGGCCATAAAAAAAAATGCATGAAATTGTATTTCATCCTTATAAAAAGAAACTTGCACGCAATAAAGAAAATCTGGTATTCAAATCTAATCTAAAGGTCCAAAGCAAGGTAGATTACAATATATCAAATAAGCAGCACCTTGATCAGTCGTAATGATGTAAAATCAATCATTAAAAAAAGATAAATAAAAAACGGACAAAGAATCGAAAAACATGTCAAAAAGCATAAGAAAACGTATCACAAAGGAAGATGAAAACATGCAACACGAACAGACTTATTGAAAATAAAAAAACAAAAGAAAATAAAGATACGATATAGAAAAGAAAAATAAAAAAAATAAAGAATATTGACGGTCGACAGCCAACATTAAAGTTGATGCGTCTGTCGATCGAAAAAGACAAAAAAATAAAAGAGATAAACAACATACCAATGAGAGAAAAACTAAGTTTTTAGGGTTTTTTTCAAGATTTACTTTGTTTTGATTCCATTCATAGTTAAATGTGTATTTTTTTTTCTTAAAAAAGTACATGTAAGTTAATTATTATTATCAATGATTAATAATTTTGACTTAAGAGTTATTTTTATCTCTATAGTAGACTCAATTTATTATTTTCGCATCTATATTATTTTTGCATCAATTTAATCATCAAAGTTGTTTAATTGCATAACTGTATACCTTCCCATAACTTACTGAATTATAAATCACAAGTTAGTGTTTAGGGTTTAAGATTTATAGTTTCGAGGTAATAGGGTTATGGTTCATAATTTATAATTTAGAGTTTTAAATTAGGATATGATATAGAATGATGTAATTGAGTAACTTCGAGGGCTAAATTGATACGAAAATACGACAAGGGCGAAAGTGGTAAATTAGGTCTACTATACAGTAGCATATCCTTTTGCGAATAATTTTTATCATTAAATTTAAACAATTTTATAAAGCGTGAAAAATTATGTTAAAAGAATATTCAGGTATCAAATTCGTGTATGATATATGATTTCAATGTAAAATAAAATGACTCGAATATATTAAAAAATTATAATTCAAACCAAGTGGCATCTGTAGTAAAGTAATTATTATTCTTCTTTGAATATCCAGATTTGAACACCATAAATACCAGATGTATAAGTATTCAATGTCAAAGGGTTCGAACACTAAAATTGATTATTCCTAAGGTGTATAATTTTTTTTCAATTCTTTTTAGGTTTTAATTAAATATCTATTTTGAAAATTTTTATAATTCTGATTTGTTGAATTTAGAATTTTAAGGCATTGGTTTAAAAAAATGACCATAAATTTAAATTCTATCCTCGACGTTATCGAACAATAAAAACTATCAAGTTTTAAAGAGAAATGTTAAAAAAAAGTAAAAAATAATAATAATAAATTTCTTTTACTAATGGACGGGTTCGAACATCAAGTTTTATCAATTAGTGTATTTTAGAAATTATGATTATAAAAGTTTTTTTTATCATGAATTATGATTTCCCCCGATAAATCTAAGGTGAATCCAAAATAATATATATTTTAAGATTCTCAACTAATTGATAATGAATGATTATATTCTTGGTGATGTTCGAACTCCTAACTTCTAGAAATAATTTTAAAAAAATTTAAAATATTTGTTATTTTCTTCGATATGTGTCTATATGTTTTAGTTTGTTTCAATCTGAAAAGAAAATATAAACTTAAAATAATCTTTTATATCTTTAAAATATTAATAATAATAATGTATTTTATTAATTCAATAATCTCATATGTAAATTAATAATATTTTTATTCATCTATTAAAAAACAACATTTTATTCATAAATAAAGAGTAATGTATATTTTCACTAGGCCAGTAAACGAACTGAACGTTCAGGGAACTGTTCGTGAACAGTTCGACAGGAAGTTCGTTTATGTTCGTTTATTTATTAAACGAACAGACATGAATAAGATTTTATGTTCGTTTAATTAAATGAACGAACACGAATAAAAGACTCATTTGTTCATTTACATTGTGAACGTTCGATAATCCGATCACTTATATTCATTCATTTATGTTTGTTTGTTTGTTTATGTTCTTCAGATCCGTTTGAAATATAAAGACTTAATAAATTTTAATCTTAAACCCATTAATATTTTTTAAATCAATTAATTTTAAACCTAAATAAAAAGTACTCAAATCAACTGTTGAGTCAATCAAGAGGATAAAATAGCCAAGAGAGAGTGAATTGACAAATAAAAGAATTGGTGGAAGCTTAAAAGAAAATATGAAAATGAACACAAGAATTTTAGAGTGGTTCGACTTTCTAAATCAAGTCTACATCCATTACTTTAGCTATCAACACTAAGGATTTTCACAAATTCAAGAATTTGTATCAACCTTTTAGGACAAGGTGTAATCTTACGACTACCTCAAGAATTATACCTCAAATTATTGAGAACACTCTCTCAAAGAGAAAATTACAAATAAACAAACTTTGAAAAAAACCTCACAAGAAAGTTATTTGCACAATTCAAGAACAGATAATAACACTAAACAAATAAAATAAATGAGTACAATAGTGTTCTTTGAAAGCAAAAAGAATATTGACTTGATTTTAGTTCAATGTGATTGCTTTGGCATTCTTTTTGTTTTTTTTATCTTCACATATGGTTTGAAATATTGTTTTTATATCATCTCATTCAATTCTAGTCGTTTGGGTTGTTGTAAGAGTTAATAGAGTCGTTGAGATAAAGTTTCCTGCAATAAATGTTGCCCAGACACATGGAATATCAATATTTGGGCTTGGAATCTCGATACTGCCTGCATTAATTACAAAATTTTTGACCATTGGAAGAGGAAAGTATCAGTACTGTAGTAAGAGTATCGATAGTGGTATAGATACTCTGAGAGTATTGGTACGAAAATGGTATACTGGACTGCGTTTTTATCAAAACCTCAAGGGGAGTATCGGTACTCCCATCCAGAGTATAGATACTGCATGAACAGTGTCAATATTGTTATTGTAGTATCGATACTAAAGGGTTTAAAATCAATTTTTGAATCGATTAATGTTCAACACCCTTTGTAAAACTATTTGACCATTATTTCCCGCATATGAATTTAATTTTCAAAACGAGTATGGAGTAAAAATTTAGTTTTTGACCTTGAAAAGGATTTTAATATTCAAACGATTTAATCGAATATAAACGTAAAAATTGAATATATAATATAAATTTAAACATTTTAATAAAATTTATTAAGTGAGGTAAATTAAACTCATGATTATTTAACTATTTTTAATATCTTTAAAAAATCATTTTTAACAAAAATAAATAAATAAATTTTTAACTTAATTAATTGTTGAGTTCGAATATTTGTTTAATAAAAGTTTAAAATTATTAATTAAATTAAAGTATTTCATATAATAATTATATATATTAAATTATAAAATTAAAAAAGTAAATCTAGTTTGAAATTTTAATATCGTTTTATTATAAAAAATCCAGTTTGATGATTATATATATAATACAAAATTCAATTAGATATTTACTTTGGCTTGATAGATAATATACTCACACTCTACTTTAAGACTTAATGTCATAGGCTTGAGCTTCTAAAGCAGTATTTTACATCATTTTCCCCTTCAATCACGCGGTCACACGTGATATTCTGTAATTGGTGGATTAAATTTATTAATTTGAATTAAATTATAATTAAATTAATATAATATTTAAATATTAAGGACTTAATATGTAATTATACAAAGTTTTTACCTGGGACGTCACTTCCTCCGTTAACAGTTAACGGCTAGTGGTCGAAAGAAGCACGGTGCCTTTGCGTTCTCTGTTCCTATCTATTTCTTCATATCTTCGATCCTTTTTTGTTTGTTATTGTGTTTTTTGCTTGCATGTTTTGGGTTTTATTTACAATCTATGAAAAACTTCAATTGTGTTTAGTTTTAATAAAAATCTGAGTTGTTTTTATGTTGCCACTGGATCCGCTTCGGATTCCAGCTTTCTGATTCTTCCGTTTTCAGACTTTGAACAATTAATTAATTAATCAAAATTTGTATAAAACAAAGAATGGGGATTTGAGTCAGCTGGTGGGTCCTTTGGGAAACAACTAAAGTTTGAATCTTGGCTGGGAAACTGCAATCCGATTGCTGATAAAATTCGGGGTTTTTCTTGATTTTGCGGTGTTTTGAGCGGGTTCTTCTTTGATGGCTCTGTTGGGGATAATAGTAAATTTCGGGTTTTAGAAAACGTTGATTCTTTCTGGAGGATTGTTATGGATGAAGTTGGTCCTAGTAATCAAGGAGAGCCTCGGACAACCTCAGGATCGAGCTCTGATGAAGGCTCTGCCATGCGGTGGAGGCCGAGGCAGCTGATTTTTAGGCCGTTCTCAACTACAAAAGAAGCTGATAGAAAGCTGCGTGTTGTTGTCAAGAGGCCTGTAAGTTCGCTTTCCTAATTGTATGCTCATATTTAGTTCAAAAGTTTGCTAGGCGTTTCTTTGTCATGTTTTTGGGGTTGAGTTTGAATTGTTATGGATTAAGTGATATTAGGTGGTTTTAGTTGTGGTTTCATTAGAGATTCCGTTTAGCATAAGCAAAGCATATATAAACATATAAGCAATGTGTGAGGTCAGAAGAGATGGTCCCTTATTTTGGTTAAATCTTAGATGTTTCACTAGTTGCAAATACATTATAGAAAGCTATGAATGTGAATGTGGAATGCTACTCTTATTTCGGTTTGTATAATGTGTCATAAGCTGAGTAGGTGGGCAAATTAGATTCTTATAGAAGAACTCAATGTATCAGTACTGATATTAGCATATAGCAAGATTACTGAATTGGTTTTAGATCCCACATTCTATCTACCCTGACAAGCCTTAAGCTAATACAACTCATACCATTAGCCGATGAATCAAGGAAAAAGCTAACTAGGCAGCAGAGACTCCACGAACTATACAAGTCTCAATGGGGAATGGGTACTTATTTGTTTCTCTTGCATGTTGGGTGGTTAACTTCTGTCCTGTCACCACCTTTACCACTATAGATCTTCTCCTAGTCATTTAATGATCTATTGTTCAATACCTCTATTTTTCCTTGTGCATAATGTTCTCCATTCTTGCCTTATTGTCAACATTCATGCTATAATGTCTGAATATGGTTTAATGTTTTGAGAGACAATAAGATCAGACACTAAATATTAGATCTGAATTTTGTACTCTAAAGATATACTGACATATAGCTTGACATGAAATACGAAAAAGATCTCGCCTGGTATCTATATGATTTTGTATATCTTTCACACTCAAGAAGGGGTACAAGAAAAGGCAAACAATAACTGTTTCAGGGTGCATGGACTCATATAAGGCAAATCTTTGTGCTGACATGCAGCTTTAACTGTGCAGTTGGTGGCAAGACTGACTAAGGACATAATTGAAACGTACCAAATATGCAACTCGCAATTTAAATATTCAGAAGAATTGAATCCAAAGCGGTATTTGACTAGCCCATCTGCTGGTGTCCTCAACGATGGCTATGACAATGCGAACTCAGATCTTATTCTAACAGTGAACTTTATCCTGATCAATTTAGAAACACAACGAAGGTTTGTTTCTACTTTTTATGATTTTCCCCCAATGATGTGAACTATATTTTTGAAGCATTTCTTTGTGAATTGACCTCTCATGTGCGTTTTGGATTTTCTTGATGGTGATTAAAGATTGTTGTGCTTTCTCTTTTGCTAAAACTTCCATTGTTCTGCTGATGTTTGTTAGAGGATCCAATACTAAAATGGATTTTTTTTTAAATTGACGCTTCTGATATACAGATTAGTTCTGAATGTACATTTGTTTCTTTTCATGTGGTTAGCTCCTCTAAGCCATGAAATATGCCTGCTTAGTTTCTGGCTTGTGAACTTAGAATTTGGCATGCTGGAAATAGTTGTACATCAATCTAAATATGTAGTTTTGGGTTTTCCAAGCTTGGGTAATATTTTTTTTAATTAATTTTCAAATTCAAACTGCCATTCCTCTCTTAACCACTCTCCGATTATGAAAACATTTCATGTTATAGTACGTATCCTGAGCAAGTATGGTTGCTCTTGACTTGCATAGTTCAATACTACATCACATATGTTCCCCGTGTATCAATTTTGTGTTTCTCCTTAATGATGCACCAAAATTGTTAGTTAATGCAATTCAAACTATCAATTGTGAGAAAACAAAGGAGTACCCAACCATTTGAAAAAATGAGGGTAAAAACTAAAAAAATAATTAGCAGATATCATTCATGAAGATCTGGCTTTTGGCAGCTTTATGGATATGTCAATTAAGCTTTAAAACTATTTCTGGTTTTTTTTTTCTCATTTAAATTAAGTTTGTTGAAGGAAGATTTTACTCATTTTTCAATGATTCTATGTAGATATATTGTCAAAGATGTTCTTGGTCACGGGACTTTTGGGCAGGTTGCTAAATGCTGGGTTCCTGAAACAAGCAGTTTTGTTGCCGTGAAGATAATTAAAAGCCAACCTGCTTACTATCAGCAAGCACTGGTTGAAGTTTCTATTTTGGCAACGGTGATTTTCTTACAGCTGTATATATCCTTCTTTAAAAATATAAGTTGTGAAACATCATTTTGTTTGCTTAATTGTTTGCCTTTTGCAGCTAAACAAAAAGTATGACCCAGAAGACAAGCATCACATTGTCCGTATTTATGATTACTTTGTATATCAACGGCATTTGTGCATTTGTTTTGAACTTCTTGATACAAATCTGTGAGTAATTTATGTATTCCAATGAAAGAAGATTCATCATTTGTGAATATCTTTTAACCATTAGATAAACTTTTCTTATAGGCTTTGCAGCATGTTATTGACATTTTCCCCCTGATCTAGGTATGAACTCATCAAGATAAATCATTTCAGGGGTTTGTCATTGAGCATCGTTCAGCTGTTTTCGAAACAGGTGTTTGCTGTTTGCTTATAAGCTGAATTTGGATTGACCTGAACAACGACCGGACTAGATGTAAGCGTCTGCTTCCGGTTTTCTTTTGAGTTCACCCTAACCTTTTTTATTTTATTTAGATTCTACAGGGACTGGCTTTATTAAAAGACGCTGGAATAATTCATTGTGATCTTAAGCCAGAAAATATTCTTTTATGCACGAGGTGGGTTGCTTTTTCAAGATTATTCCAGATAAGGAACTTATAATATATTTTATTTTTTCAGTGAAATTTGATATTTCTGTCCTAGAAATAACAGTGTCAAGCCAGCTGGAATTAAAATAATCGACTTCGGATCAGCTTGCATGGAAGAACGGACTGTTTATTCCTACATCCAGGTTTCCACCAATAGCTACTACGTTCATGCTGTTCATTCTTATCATTTCCTGAAGGGTCTTACAAGTGTATTTTTTTCTTCTTTTTCCCCCCTGCAGAGCCGTTATTATAGATCTCCTGAAGTTCTTCTTGGATACCAGTATCCTTTTGGCATGAATTTATGGCCTTATTATTTTCTATGTATTGATTTTGCTTATTGCTTTGTGTCATATAGCTTTGTATGGTTGACATGTTCTTTTTTTTTTTTTTGTAATAGTTTTAAAAAATGGGTTTTCAAAGTCATGTTTACTGGTTGTGGTTCTTATTTTTGTGATTAGAAAACTTAATTCTTATTTATATGTATATGGTCATGACTCATGATTGTTCATTTTAGTTTGAACCTTGATCCTTTTTCAGATATACAACAGCCATTGACATGTGGTCCTTTGGCTGCATAGTCGCTGAACTGTTTTTAGGGCTGCCTTTATTCCCAGGCGCTTCAGAATTTGATCTTCTAAGGCGAATGATAAAAATACTCGGGTATGGCTCTTGCTTTGGCTAGTACTAACATTTTCTTGAGACTGAATTTGGAATGGCTTTTCTTTGGTTGATTTGGTACAGAGGTAACTGAATATGTGTTTTTTGTCCAGATGTGAAAAGTTGTATAAGTAGTAGTCACTTATCATCAATAATCATGTGATTATCAAATTCCAATCCCTATGTCCCTTATTTTTTTTGTTAATCTTAGAAGTTCCAGCATTCAATGCAATATATATCTAATACTTTCAAGAGTTTATAGATTTCCAAAGTTAAATTGCCCTTATAATAAACGAGAATGTACAAGGAAAGAGAAACAAAAAGTTTATTTGATTTTCAAAGTAGCATATATATTTTTAACATCACACATTGAGAGCTTAAGCTCCTCTATCCCACTCTTTGGTTTCTGTTAGTCCATCTAAAAGAATCATAATCACAAATCAGATCCTGTAAGATCATTTGTCTCCTAAGTATACTTATGTTTAAATGCATGAAAATAGCTGTCTGACTAAGAAAAGACAACCGATATTGCAAATTCGGTGTCAGCTTCTCAGAATAAGGTGGAGGCATGGGTTAGGGATTCCTCACATGGGGGACACTCGCATTCCGAGGGGTGTGCGAATGGTAATGGAGATTTAAATAATACTTTGGGGGTTGATTTTCGTGCGAAGGGGACAGATGTTGGTGCTGTTCATATTCAGCAGAAGGTGGGAGATTTTTTTATTGATAGGAGTGGAAAGGAGTGGAGCATGGGGGGTGCCACTTTGGGGCAGGAGGGTGATGACCGAGGTTTTGGGCTTGATGGTAGCTTGGGCATGCGAGAGGTCTGTGGGCCTGATCAGGAAAGTCTGAGGGAGAATGCAGATGTTTCTTTGTCTGCCGATAGGCTCTTTAGGGGTAAAGCCTGTTGTGCAAGAAGTCAAGCGAATCATAGGAAGTTTAAGGTTGCTCCTAGTCGTTCCGGTAGTGTTTGTTCGTTGAGTGAAGTTTCAATCTGTTTCCATGAGAGAGTTTTTTGTAGAGGGGATAGAGGTATTCTCCCAGATGTTCGGGTTCAGGATAGTGCCTCGTCTGAGTCCTCACTCATCTTTCGTAAAGCGAGGGAGGAGGCGGCTGCTACTAGGGAAGTTTGTGACATGTTGGGGATTTCTTTCGTAGGGGGGCAACATTTACTGGAAGAGGAGATTTTGAATCTGGAGTTGTAAAGGTCTTCTAGGAGTTTGTGATTGTAGTTAGTGAGCTGAAAAGGGGTTTTAATTTTTATTTTTGTATGTCCCATTTTAATGTGGTTTCTTGGAATGTTAGGGGTCTTGGGAAGAAGGAAAAAATTCGAGCAGTGGCTAGACTTGTTAGCAATGTCAAACCAGTCTTTTTGATGCTCCAGGAAACTAAGCTGAGTTTCTGTAAATTCGGCCTATGGAGGAAGTTGGGGGGAAAACTTCTGAAAGGTAGAAGTGTCCAATTAGTTGATGGGTCTGCTGGTGGTTTAATTTGTTTGTGGAATGAAGATTTTTTTGAAGCTACAAGTGAATTTAAGACCAGCAGATTCATAGCTGTCTCAGGGAAGTTCAAGGTGGTTAATTGTGACTGTGTTATTATTAATGTGTACGGTCCGTCTGTTGAAGCTGATAAGGAGGTTTTTTTCAGAGATTTGATGGATTTTGTGCAAGGTCTAAGCCTGCCTGTTTGCTTAGGGGGGGATTTCAATGCCTACCTTGATCCGGTGGAGAAGATTGGAATGGCTCAGAATTGGCATTCAATTGATCTTTTTTCGAACTTTGTTCATAGTCTGAATCTCTTGGACCTTCCGTTAGTGGGTGGGAATTTTACTTGGTGCAATAATAGGGAAAGTGCAACTTGGATAAGGCTAGATCGGTTTTTATTAAGTGGTAGTTTCCTGCAGTGTTTTCCGAAAGTTGTCCAAAAAATGCTACCAAAGTCTTTATCGGATCATAATCCAGTGCTACTAGAAGAAGACGTTGAGAATTGGGGCCCTAAACCCTTTCGGTTTTTTAATTACCTTTTAGAGGAGGAAGGGTTTGATGGGGTGGTCCAGAATTCTGTTAACTTGTCTAATGGTCGAAGGGGTTTGTTTAGCATTCTGCAAGGTACTAAAAAAGTGATTAAACAGTGGTCCAACAAAAATCGTTTGGGGATTTCTGATCAAATTTCAGCCTTGGAAGCCAGGATTAATGCATTGGAGTTGAAGTCTCAAGGTGGGGGGTCTACTCCACGTGATAGGGATCAGCTTCTGCTGATGAGGTCTGAACTGTGGATATTGCATAGGAAGGATTATACAAAATTATTTCTAAGGTGCTGTCCAAACGGCTTGGTGCTATTATTAAAGATATAATTAGTCCCTCGCAGTTTGCCTTTATTCCGGGTAGGCAATTGCTTGACTGTGCTCTTTTGGCTAACGAAGGCATTGATTATTGGAGGAAACAAGGGAGATATGGAGTTGTTTTCAAAGTTGATTTCCGCAGGGCCTATGATTTTGTTGAATGGCCGATTCTTTTCAAACTTCTGAGGGGTATGGGTTTTGGTGAAAAATGGATTTCATGGATGGAGTGTTGTGTTTCTTCAGCCTCAATCTCAGTATTAGTGAATGGGTCTCCAACTGAGGAATTTCAGATTACTAAAGGTTTGAGACAGGGCTGCAGTTTGTCCCCTTTATTGTTTAATATAGTTGGGGAACTTTTAAATCTAATGCTGAACAAGGCTGCTGATCTGGGTCTTTTTGAAGGGTTCAGTATTGGCAGGTGCGATAATTCTTTCCATCTGACTCACCTTCAGTTTGCAGATGATCTAATATTATTCTGCAAAGACTCTCCTACTCATATCCTTAATATTAAGAGAGTTTTGAGGATTTTCAGTGTGATGTCAGGGCTACACTTAAATCTGTCTAAGAGTAATTTGTATGGCATTAATGTGGATGAGGTAAGAGTATTAGAATGGGCTAGGATGGCGGGCTGTGGAGTGGGATCTTTTCCTATGACTTATCTTGGTTTGCCGCTTTGTTCAAAGAAGAATTCAGAGGGTATGTGGGAACCGGTTGTTCAGAATTTTTACAAAAGATTAGCAGGCTGGAAATCGAATTCTCTGTCGATGGTTGGGAGATTAGTGTTGGTTAAGTCTGTGTTGTCCAGCTTGCCGATATTTTACCTATCAATTTTTGAAATTCCAGTGAAGGTCATGCAGAAATTGAACTCTTTAATGGCGAATTTTATTTGGGGTGATGTTCCAGCTAAGAAAAAGGTACACTGGGTGAACTGGAAAACTGTCTGTCAACCGTTTGAAGGAGGAGGGTTGGGAATTTTAGACTTGAGGTTGATTAATAGAGTTTTGCTTGGGAAATGGGTATGGAAATTTGCAAATGATAAAAATAGTCAGTGGAAAAAGATGATTTGCTGCAAGAGCAACGTTAGTAATTTGTCTCTTTCAATAATGAAGGTTGTTTCTCCGCACGATTCTTGGATTTGGAGAGCAATTCTAAACAATTATGTCAAAAACGATGAGGTTGGGGAATGTTTGAGAGCTAATTCAAAGATTCACATAGGCAATGGCAGATCCAGTGTTTTTTTGGCATGATGTGTGGATCAACGACTCAACCTTAAAATCACAATTTCCAAGAATTTTTGCTTTATCGGTTAATAAGTTGGGGACAATAACTGAGTTTGGTGGTTTCGTGCAGAATGTTTGGGTGTGGAACATCCAGTTAAGAAGATATTTACTCGACTGGGAACTAGATCAGTGGATTGCTTTAATGTCCTTGATTGAAAATGTATCTTTGTCGGATTCAGTGGATGATTTTCTTGGGTGGTCGGGGAAAGGTGATGGCCTGTTTTCGGTCAAGTCATGTAGGAGGTCTTTTTATAGCAGTTCAGAAGGTTTGTTCGAGTGGAATAAGTGGGTTTGGGCTGGTTTGGCTCCTCCTAGGGTGGAAACTTTCCTTTGGCAGCTTTGTCATGGTAAAGTGGAAGTTAGAGAGGAGTTGAAGAAAAGAGATATTCCTTTGGAAGACGGTCTTTGTCCACTGTGTCAATTGCATGAAGAATCTGTTGAACACCTTTTCTTCTCTTGTGTGGTTGCAAGGGAGCTATGGACCAAATTCCTTAGGCTATGGGAAATTTCTACTGCTCTTCCTCACGACCCCATTTCTCTTTTGTGCGCTTGGTCGTTTCTAAGGAAGGATTCTAGCATTTGGAAGTTCATCCCAGGGGTTGTTTTATGGTCAGTTTGGAAGGTTAGGAATCTGGTTGTTTTTGAAAAGTGGAAGGTCGACTCTACATCTTTGTTCTTCTTCGCCAGATTTAGATTGGCTAAATGGTTTCTAGCTAAATATCCTTTGGTTCGTATCAACTCTGACAATTTAGTTGGGGATCCGACGCTTGCAGATAAGTCTCAGTACTCTCATGTCCATGAGAGGGCTATTTGTTGGACTCCACCGCCTATGGATATGTTCAAGCTAAACGTTGATGGGGCGGTAAGAGGGGATAGGTTGCAAGGTGGTATAGGTGGGATTTTAAAAGATTCTACCCCTAGTACCTTAGCCACCTTCTCTTTAGCGGTAGGGCCTGGAACTCCCATTTTAGCAGAGTTGAAAGCTATTAAGGAAGGGATTGTGTTTTTCTTCTCTTCGAACTGGGCTAACAAGGGAAGATTAATTATAGAAAGTGACTGTAAAACAACAGTGGATTGGATTTCTAATCAAAACTCTGCACCAGCTTTTTTCAGTTCGATGGTGGAGGAAATTGGGGCTTCTATTTCGGCTAAGGATATTGTTTTGAGATTGATTCTTAGGAGTTGCAATGTGGAAGCTGACCAGTTAGCTAAGGAGGGGATTGGTTGATTGCTTCAAGCATTTTGTGGGAATGTTTTGTGTTGGTTTTCTGGCCGATCGGCTACAGGCCAGACTCAGTAGAGGTCGTTGTAGAATTGTACAGGGCTGTTTGGCCTGTTTGGGCAGTTTTTTGTTCTTGGTTATTTTGGGAAAGTCCCTTGGCTGTATTTTATGTATTTATTATGGTTAATAAAATTTTTAAGGCACTCTTTTCCCTCTTCCGCTGATTGATGAGCTTCTCTACAAGCTCATACAATTAAGAAGGGGTTTTTTAATGAGGCATTCAATTCCTATAAAAAAAAACCTGGTTTTAAATAGATAATCTATAAACTAAAATAAGAATTTTTAGCACTATTACTGATTCAGTTGTTATTTTGCACTTGTTGTTAACAACCTTTTATATGCATGGTTTTCTTGTTGTAGATCACAACCCCCTGATTATGTTCTAAAGGAGGCAAAGAACACAAGTAGGTTTTTTAAGTGCGTTGGGAGTATAAACAATATGGAGAATGGTGAATGTGGTGGCAGAAGTGCTTACCAAGAATTAACGGAAGAAGAATATGAAGCTGCAAGTGTTCATATATTTGGTCCAAGTATTTTTATTATTTTCTATGTTGTTGCATCTATTGTCAACCATCTTCGTCTGATAGTCATTGTTGCCTGTTTCTGTTCAGAGGGAGTTAAAAAAACCACTGATGGGGAAAGAGTATTTCGGTTATAAGAACCTTGAAGCAGTTGTTAGAAATTATCCTTACCGCAAAAACTTGCCTGAAGAGGATATCATTAAAGGTTAGCATCCGACTTCTACGTAATGTCCGGCTTCCATGGTTGGAAAATGTCTGCAGTGTGTGACTACTATCTGTTAAGAACTTACCAAGGCTGTTTCATAATGAATCTATAACAGAGGGTCAAATACGGTTAGCTTTGATTGATTTCCTGAGGGGACTAGTTGAGTTTGATCCAGCAAAACGGTGGTCACCTTTCCAGGTAATTAAAATTTCAGTTGAACGCTCCTTTATCATGCTATCCAACTAAATATGAAGCAATAATAAGAGTTTCAAGTCCATCTTGCAGGCTTCAAAACACCCTTTTGTTACTGGGGAACCTTTCACATGCCCATACAGACCGCCCCCCGAGACCCCTCAATTGGTATGGAATCTATGTGTGTAACTCTGGAATTAAAGATTTCTGAACCTTATTTCATAAATTAATATCAACTATGTAACTTTTATTTCAATTATTGACACCAGACATACAGAGGAATTGCCTATTCCTATCCTGGTTACTGTATGTATTTTTCTGAACAGCAGTATTGTCTTATTTTATATTCTAGGAATTTTTCTCTTATTTATAAAAAGTTTGACATTGTTGAAAATAATTCGACATAGAGTTTTGTGCTTGTTTGAACAAATTTTAGCAATCATTGGATAAAATTTCACTGTCCTCTGTGTGTATGCGAGTACAAAAATTCTTTGGCCATGTGAAAGATTGGGCTTTATTGGTCTTCTCATGGTTGAGCTGCTTTTCAATTGTAGTAGTCTGTCCTTGTGAATAACAAGCTTTACGAAAAAGATACACTAATCTGTTATTTTCCGGGGGGAAAAGAGGAGAGGAAAAGATACTTGCCTAATGTCTGCCTTTTTTTTTCTTGGTAGCCTGTTGCTCAAAACATCAAGGTGGATCATCACCCTGGTGGAGGGCATTGGTTTGCAGCTGGTCTTTCCCCTAATGTAAGCTTCCTAATGATCCATTATTTCTCGAGTAATAGATTTTCAGTATTATTTTAATATTAGTCTTATATTGATGTATAATTTCAATCGTATAGATTCAAAATAGGAACATGGTTCTCTTTCATAACAGTCCACAGTTCCAAATGATGCCGTATGCTCATGCAAATAGTTATGGCAGTATAGGAAGTCATGGCAGCTATAATGATAATATTGGACTTGGAAGCAGCTATGGGAGTTACGGAGATAGTAGTAATATGTTTGCATATTATTCACCTGTTGGTCCGTCTGCAATGAACATGCATCCGCAGAGCGGTACATCAATGCTTGGAAGTAGTCCTGATGCTAGATGGAGATATATGCAGTACTCTCAGGGTACAGGACTTGGTGTTAGTCCATCAGCTGGAAACTTTGCACCACTTCCCCTTGGCACTAGTCCCTCTCAATTTACTCCTCCAAGCTCATACAGTCAAATATCAGGTGGTTCTCCTGGGCACTATGGTCCCACTTCTCCCGCGAGAAACAGTTGTCAGGGATCACCTTTAAGTAAGATGGCTACAGCTGGCCAATTTAATAGAAGAAAAAGCTGGGGATATTCAGTAAGTTCCCAATCTCAAGAGAGTTCATCATCTTTGAACTGGCAAGGACAAGTAACCGATGGCACCATATCTAGCCAAGCTGAGGGACACTCTCAAGTGATCGGTGGTTTCCCCTCTCACAAGCCGTCAAATTCTAACACAGCCAACTTGAACCAACAGCTAGGTGGCATTGGAACGGCTACAATCTACTCAACTGCACAGAATATACCCAACTCCATCACACTTGGTTCTAATTTGCAACTTCAGCGTAGCACAGGAGCAACTCAAGACAAGTCAGAGGCCAGCGAGCCATTGCCCAATCCTGGAGATTGGGATCCAAATTATAGGTGAGTAGAGAACATATCCATGGGTGTTTTATCACTTGTGCCCTATTGGTTGTTGTCCCTCAAAATTCTTTTGTGCTGCATCAGGAATTCATGATACTCCTAAAATTAGCTCTAGTTGCAACATTTGGCATATACCTAAGACAATATTTCGTGTTTTTTTTTCACCCTAGTGATGAACTACTACTACAAGAGGATGGATCAGAAGAGAGCTGCTTACCAGCTGACTTTAACAGAGGAATGCATATCGGTTCAGCCGATTCATCTGTTGGAGTTGGAAGATTCAACCGTCTCTCAACCACAAACTCAAATTTATCAATTCAAAGGTAATTGCATAATCTTCTTGGCGAATGTCCCTTTCTTTGGGCTGGCTGAGTTTCAAGATGTAAATGATAAAATCAATTATTATCTTATTTTTCATTTCCCTTGCAACACGATTTTGGTTTATTCTTATATGCATACCTTTTATTTTCCCTATTGAAATCTATATAGTTGGCAGTTATGTTCCACGTGACTGATGCGGCCCAAGATGTGTTGTACATTATAGAGATGGATATGCCTAGTGTCAGATGGAGCTAATTTGTTTTTCATTTGAAGTGCTCGACACTGTTATTGACTTGTATATTGTTTGAGTGCAGACAAAATGTACCTGTAGGATTTTCACATGTAGAAGTGGGTAGCCCTCCTTCAACTAACAATTTACACGCCGGATATACTCGTCATTTGTCAAAGCATTCTCACTTCATGCCACATATGACTCAAAATTCTCCTAGCCGTTTGGGGCAGCAAACTGTGCAGCGGTTCAATCACGGCAGATCCACTGGTGCTCGGGATAGTGAATGGAATCACATGAAAGTCCAGCTCCCTGCTTCTAGCTTTAATTATGGGGGGCCACGTTCTCCTGGAAACAGTACATTCAGTAATGGCATGCCATGGGGTACTTCCTAACTTTACACTCTCAAATCACTTTTAGTTACCCCGTACATTGCCAAGTAATATCGCAGATCTACTTGTGTCGAAACTAGATAATTATTGTTGGATAATTTTGGGAATAGAATGAACTGATTCTGCGTGACTCAATCCTGGCATTGTTAATGTAGGGCGTAGGGCCAACCATCCCGTCTCAGATATTCCACCAGGTTCTCGCAGAAGAAAGGACTACGGGAGGATTGCATAACGTTGGAACCAACTCGAGTTTTTACAGCGTTGGATTATGTATTGGGTGTTTGACAAGAAATATGTACTCAAACAGTTCACTTAATTAGCGAGGTCATTATAAGCAAATGCTCATTTATTTTGCTTTGCATAAATGTTGTTTTGCTTGTCTTCCAATCAAATTGCCCGCCATGCCCATTCTTCCAATCTAACCATGTTGCCGAGATATCCAATGCAGCTGCCTGCAAGTACTCAACAAGAAGTTCATGTCTGGATCGAAGTTACTTAGGAGGGATTTAACTAGTGGTAAATTATATTTTATTTCTCATAGATGTTGAAGCTCTTTCCTTTTTGATCCGCATGGAGGTTATGTTACTCGGACAATGGTGTATGTGTCGCGAGCGTTCGGAGTATCATGTTTTCCTATCCATGTTCGGATGTGTCGTATTTGAGAGATGAAGAATGATTCTAGTTTTATCAGCAGCCTTAACAATGGAGTTTTGATTCTAGGTTTTCACCCTTTACAATGGAGTTCTGTTTAGCCAAAAGCTGTTCTGAAATCGAAGTCATATGAATGTTGATTAGGAAGACGATGAACCCCACAATTTGTACGCAACAACACGAAAATCCGAATAAGCCAACTTTTTTGTTAGGATTATTGCATTTATTCATCAATTTTGATGGAATGGAATTGAAAGAAGAGGAAGAACAAAGAAAACAAAGAAGCTTAACTGAGCTACTTTTTATTCGAAGGTTTAATATAAAAATAAGACTAAACTTTACCTAAAAAAACGACTCAGTCTCTAAAGATTTTTTTTTTTAAATGTGTGTCTAATGTTTTCTCAATTACATTTTTAGGTGTCTATTGTTATATTTTTATTTTTTAATAATAAAAATTTTATAAAAAAAGAAATAAGATTTTGAAAGTTTAATTTATTTAAAAAAATCCAAATTTTTACTCAAATTATAAAAATATTCTAAAAAATTAAAATCTCTCATTTCAACCTACGATGAAATAGTGGAGCAGCAAAAATGGAGCTACAACGAGGAAAGATCACTTAGGTTTTGATTAGAATTGTACAGTGGTTAGGATGGTGATGACAATGTGGCTTATGGACGTCGAAATTGGCCGAAATTGATGAATAACAATGACGTTGGCTTAAAATCCAAAGAACCTTTAAACGCCTCTCCACTACAAACGATGGCAGCTTAGGACAAAAGGCCAACGAAATTTTGACGGGATGAGATAAAGTTTCTGGTGATGAGGGCGGTGACGGGCATGACTAACAGTGATGGTGACGTCAGGGAAGGGAGAGGGAGAAGGGGACGAAGGTTTTTTTTTTAAATTTTAAATAAATTCACAAAATTATTATAACGTTACATGTACCACTTAACAGAGATTTTTAACGACGGTTAACATTCGAACACTTAAAATTATAACACTAGAAAGACTAAACATTTATTTTTAACAAAAAAAAATTTTAAGCACCGAAACATTTTTCAAAACATAATTTATACACTTTTTTACATATTAAAGTATTATTTGAATAATAAAAGCCGATAATTTTCCCAAATTATGAACAAAATTCTTTTTTCACTAAAATTTCGTTTAGAAGCACCGAAGACACTCTAATATTTCCCTCGCCGGCGAAGAAGTCTTTCACCGCCACTCTGCTGCACCCTCGTCTTTCTCTTCCTCGTATTTTTTCCGGGCCAAATTAATTAAGGTAATTTTTCAAACCCCAAACTTAACTTGAGTTGACTCACGAGATTCTGAGTTCTCGCTCGGTTCCCTTCCTCTGCTTCACTCTGTTATATTTCATTTTCTGTTTTCAATCCTACTGCTCCTTGCTCTGTCTCCTTCATTTCTTTTTCAAAGCTATCTGTTGGCAAAGTTTTAGCTTATGTTTTCTCTCTTCTTTTCGTTTTCGAGGTTTTTTTATGTTTCTATTTTCTTAAGCTAATGGAAAAGAAAAATGTCAACTAAATCACAGCCATCTCCATGGTTTAGGCTCCTTTGCCGGTCCTTTCAATACCCACCTAAAAATCTGCATTCATTTGCTCGGAAAATCTCCACGAATATTTTGTCGAACACCCATTACTCAAATCGTATCCCTAAAACCTCCATTAAACCCCAGTTCTCATTCTGCCGAAATATATCAACTTTTTCCTATTTCCCCAACAACCAAACAACAAAATCGCCGTTTTCTTTTACGAGATGCCATTTCTCTAGAAGCTTCTCTTCCGACAAGCTACGCTATGATGATCTTTTGGCCGATGTATTTGCTGAAATAGAACCCGAGCAGCAGAATGAAAGAGAGGAGAGGATGAGAAAAGGTTTGTATAAAGAGGATATTGATGAAGAGGATGAAGAAGATTATATGGGTGTAATGCCATTGATAGAGAAGCTTGAAAAGAGGTCGTTAAAGGAAAACAATATTCGTATAGCATTTGAGGAGCCCATGGATTCCGATTCTGAAAACGAGGATGTGGGGAATTATGAGACGTGGGAAAAGCAATTTGAGAGGAAACAAAAGATGCATGAGCAATTGCTCAAGAACTTCTGTGATTCAGGTAAACGAACAAGCTTTGTTTTAATTGTTTGGATTGCTTATGTACGAGTGCTAGTATAATATGTATATGGGTGCACATTGTGTAGAATGCTTGTTGCACACAAGCACACTAGAGTTGACAATATTTGATACTCTATCCAGAAAAACAAAACATAAGAAAACTCGAATGCCACAGGGATTCATGAATGTCTCAAAATGTATATCGACAGAAGACACAAACATGAGATGTATACATGAACTGCAGCTAAAATTTTGATTTATAAGTGATACTTATGAATTTTCATCAATTGATCTATTGTTGGCAATTACATTTCTGCATTTGACAGTGACACCTGATGACGCTTTTAAATGGATGAATAAAATTGACAAGTTTGAGGAAAAGCATTTTAAACTTCGCCCTGAATATAGGGCCATCGGTGACTTGATGAATCAACTTAAGGTTACAGAAGGCAAGGAGAAATTTATCCTTAAGCAAAAATTGAATAGAGCAATGAGGCTCCTTCAATGGAAGGAAGCTTACGATCCCAGTAATCCTGCCAATTATGGAATTATGAAGGATCAACAAGTTGGTCCTTCTGTTAATTGTGAGGAAGAAGCTGAAGAGGAGAATGAGAAGAAAATAATAAGAAAAGCTAGCGGGGATGAGGATAAAGAAGAATTTGATGACATGAAAGAGAAGGATAACATACTATTAGAGAAGCTCAATGCTATTGACAAGAAACTAGAAGAGAAGCGAGCAGAGTTGGATTATACATTCAGCGGGAAGGGAAAGATTCTAGAGGAGGAAATCGGAGACCTTGCAGAGGAAAGAAATTCTTTGACAGAAAAGAAAAGAAGACCTCTTTACAGAAAGGTAAAGTGTATACAAGACCTCCATTTATTTTGCTTCAAAGGTCAAACAGTTCAGTTATTTTTGAAATGGTTGAGGAACAGAATTCCAAGCTAATATTATTCTTACATTTTCTTATATATATATTTTATTCATATTCATTTTTCTCATAGGCAGGCTCTGCTATTTGTAGTTCTCCTCTTTAACTCCCTTTTGTCATTGAAATAGGTTATAGCATTGAGAAATTGAACTTCCTTCAACCGAATTTTATTCATCATATTCTCTAGATTATGCGAATGCACATATTCATTGTTTTTCACTGCAATCTGACTCCCCTCCTTTACGGGTCTGTACATTAATTTTCAGTACAACTTTAATCATCACAAGTATGACTCATTTGATGATATTCATTTGCATTGTGTCGTTTCAAGTAGCAATTTTTTGTTTTTCAAACAGTTTCATCTTGCATGTAACTAACTCTGTTTTTGTTGAATGATGGCAGGGTTTTGATGTGAGGTTGATAGATGTGAACCGAACTTGTAAAGTAACAAAGGTAATATCCCTTTGAATTTGTTTTGTTAAGAGATTGATTTTCATGTAACACATCCGAAGTTGATATTGTCCAGGGAGGGCAAGTGGTCAAATACACCGCTTTGATGGCATGTGGAAACTATCATGGTGTTGTTGGATTTGCAAAAGCCAAAGCCGAAGCAGTCTCAATTGCACTTCAAAAGGTAGCTTTTAACTGCTTTTATTTATACTTTAATTTATACTTGGCTGGTAAATCTAGTCTGTTCAGACAGGTATGTTTTATTCAACAAAATCTTTCAGCGTTACTCTAGAATTCTTGTAAAGTAAATGTTTTGTTGTCTATTCAAAAGCTGTACATTTTAATTTTTCTTGTGACTATGTTTTAAATAAACCTTGTTCTGGCTCTTATATAATCCCTTGGGGACAGTATAATATTAAGGATTTTGGCTTTTCTTATGATTGGTTTTTATATGGTTACTTCTTACCATGATGCTATGATTTCTGGGGTGGATTAGTGAAATCGGTTTAATTTGAAAGGTGTAAAATATCGTCAATGTTGTCCCTAATGAACATGTTCGTGAATATCCTTAATCATCTTTTAATGTCACTAGCTTGATGAATTTATGTGACATGTACTGACTCGTGTAACCAACCAACAGGCATATGAGAAATGCTTTCAGAATCTTCACTATATTGAACGACATGAGGAGCACACTATAGCCCATCCGATTCAAACGTCATATAAGAAGACTAAGGTGTGCATAAATCTATCCTTTTATCACCATTTTTAATCTCGATCTACCACTTGAGTTAATTGTTCACATTTTTTTTATGCTAGAGTTTCTCAGCATTCACTATTTTAGTCTTTTGATGGTTTGGTAGGTCTATCTCTGGCCTGCACCAACGACTACGGGTTTGAGAGCTGAAAGAACAGTTAAAAGCATTTTGCTTTTAGCTGGCTTTAAGAATATCAAATCAAAGGTAATAAAGAGTTATATAGGTTCTCTGTTTTGGTTGGGCTCAGGCATATGTTGGATATATATAGATGTTTGACGCTATTATATTTTATTATTTTTCCTGAGATTTTTCATGCTCTTAGATGATACCTGGAGTTTCATTTCTTGTACTCATATCTAGATGTGTGTCATGTATATGAGAATTTTTTTTTTGATAAAAGTTGGAGGTTTCATTAAAAACTCCCTTCGTATTCGTCCACATACTAACAAGTATGTTAACGAACATTGGAAGGAAGAAAATAGTACCTCATATTTCATTAAAAAAAACACCCAATACATCTGAAAACACGGAATACCCTCAAACGGGGATATACACCATTACAAAAAATCATAACCACCTAAAACTTAGAAGTGATAGGGTTCCTTAAAATGGTGTTTAGAATTCAACTCTTTTTATTGCTAATCTGAACAATCTTCCCAGGTTATTGGCTCTAGGAATCCTCACAACACCATCAAGGCTGTTCTTAAAGCCCTCAATGCAGTAAGTAACTCGATCACCCATATAACCCGAATAGGGTTTAAGACGACACTTTTGCTTGCAAATTATTTGGATTTGATTCGACTTTAAAAACTTTTAGTTTCTCTTGGTAATTGTCGAATCAAACATGAACTGTTGAAGGAGCCAAATTTGGACATTCTAATGCTTTAAGTAGCTTGTGAGCTTATTGTGCTCCTTTTTTTTCATTTGGAATAAATATTTTTAAATAACATTGAATATTCTCAATAGATACTTAAACTCGAGCTTGAACACAAATAATAAAAGTTTGAAGTGAAGCATGAGAATTGAGCTCATTTCTTATGGGTGAATGAGCCTAATTAAGTGAGCTCAATCAGGTTGATTAGAATAGAATACTTATGGGCAGCCTCCTGAATAACATAATAAATTGCATGTTTGCAGGTTGAAACACCGAAGGACATTCAATAGAAATTTGGAAGAACGGCTGTTGAGAAACACTTGCGGCAATGAATTTCTTGTATATAATACTATTTGGCAATAAATTTGTATCCAAGTACTTTTACCGTATATTTCAAAAATTATTATTACCATTAAAGCAAGTAATCTAGTATCTTGTGGTATAAATCATGTAGAAATTCATTGGCAAAATTGATAATCAAACTAATACCTTCCTTTTTACAGAATTTACTTGTATTCTGCTTAGTCTGTGTGGGGTTTTTTTTTACATAAAAAAATATTTTAATAAATTATTTATAGTGGGAAGAAGTTATTTAGGTCTTGAGGTATACATGTTTTCTCACTTTGCATAATTGTAAAATTTTATCATATCCATGACAATATTATCCATATTGTATATATAAATTTTCAGAAAATCTAAAATCACATGAGCAGATTATATGAAATAGATTGTGAGTTTTATTCATCTTAATAGGTGTTTTTTAAAGAGATGTATTTTATTTTATTTAAAAAGAAGGACAAGGACAGTTGCAAAGGCCGGCATCCCCTGATCCTAAACAAATTCCATTGGCTTCAGGTCCATGTCTATCCTGGCACCAACTCAGGCAACCATCCGGTGTGCAATCTGCCATCCTTATTTCTCTAGTGCAACTAAATTCATCTGCTCTTGCTGCTGCCACCTCTTTCCCTGTTTTCCCACCAATAATAGTGGGTTAATTAATATTTAAAAAATGATATTTAGAGTATTAAATCAGAATATAAACAAGTATGGATTAGAATATATAAATAATAGTGGATCTTTTATTTTTACCAGCAGCAAAAAGAACCAACATGGAAAAAACAGCAGATGCTTGCAAATTCTTCAAGGCTTTTCTCTTCTTCTTCTTCTTCTATGGAAAAGAAGATTGAATTCTTCTAAATTTATAGTGGAAAATGTCTTTGATTGGCAATAATTGATGTCTATAATATTATCTGGCAAGAATTTTTCCATCTAAATCATATTACCATATATGTTAAAACATTATTATCACCATAGAAGCAAATAATTAAAGCGGATATATTAATATGTTAACTTACCCATGTTTAAGAGCATAACAAAAGAAAGTTACTATATAATAAATACTATAAATTATAATAATTTAAAAATAAACTATAATAACCAACAATTAGTTTATCTAGTGGGATGATGCACTAGATCTTTTAAGTAAGGTTGTTGAAACGATTTTTTCTTAATGGTGAAAATGTGAGAAAGTGAGATTTTAAAAAAACACATTAATTCTTAATTATCTCTTTTAAATTTAAAAACAAATGTGATTTAAAAGACCTCTCGTTTCGAAAATTTTTAGATTTCCTTTACGATCGAAAAATACAGTTCAAGGAGTCGCCACCAATCTTTGATTAGGGTGTGATTGGGCACCCAAAAATGCTTTGTCATTTTAAATAAAAATTAATTTTAATTAAAACAACAAATTGAGGTCTGCGTTACCAAAATCTGAGTTCGGGAGTCGGTTACGTGTGGGGAAGGATTAGCACCCCCACAACGCCCTAAATCGGTACCTAGTCGATTAATTAACGTTTTTGCAATGAACTTTACAAATTCGAACTTAATTTAATTTTTGATCCCATAAAACAATGACGTAAATTTAAAAACATTCAAAAACACTCAAAATAATTAAATTTAAATTACCAAGTCGTTTTAGAAAGATAAAGGATGTTCGATTATTTACAAATATCGAGACCAGATCTTAAATATATAACAACCTTTTCTCGATATATTTAAATAAACGAACATTTCTTTTTCTTTCGTTCCCAAATTTTAGGTGACGAATCAAATTTTTGGTTTCACTTTCGGGATACACTTTTATTTTAAAATCATTAAAAGCGGACCTCAAATCAGTTATGACTGCCCACTTCAATAATTTTAAATTAAAAGGGTATTACCCTTAATCCAATTATGTGATATATGTCAAGTTATGCAAATGAGGTTATCATGCATATTATGCAAAATAATGTCATGCAAAAACTAATTAAAATATGCCATGCACTCAAACAAATTTCTAAAAAAAACTAAAAAAAAATATAATAAAATAAAATAAAATAAAAAAAATATGTATTTACGACATTAACATACATTAGAATAAAACCATATATACAATAAGACATACTATTAATAACTCGACTTCACATTCAAAATTACCATGAAGGACCAAAATAAAATTAAACTAAGCATGCAAAGTAGGAATTAACTATTAAATTAAAAAACATGCTAAGTGACTAAATTGTCAAACAACCAAAATTGCAAATTACAATTCAAAAATAAAACATAAAAACATTTCAGGACTAACATGAAAAGTGTTCATAAATATGAAGACTAAATTAAGAAGGCACAAAGATTCGTTCAAGGACCAAAATGAAAGTTCTGTAAATTACACAACCAATGTAAAAACAATGCAAAAATGGCCCTAATATGCAACTGGACTAAAATGAGACACGCTGAAAGTTAGGAGACTAGATTAGCATTCCAAAAAGAAAAAAACCTCGAATTGGGGACCACAACAGAACAGGTTGAAGCTACAAGGGTCTAATCAGCTATTATACCTAAAACACGGATTCCCCTTTGCCCACTAAACGCTGCCGTTTCACTAATCCTAATATATGATTTTTTAGGTGATGAGTTACCCTAATTTCACTTCCCTTATCCCTTCAGCCGCTCTCCCCTCTTTCAAGCCTTCATCATCTCTCGACTGTTCCTTCAACCTCACGAACGGAGCTGCCCAACATCAACCAAGCACAACACCGACCACCTCACCAGAAGAAGACCACCGGAGATCTAAACCACTGAAGACTGCAGACCCAACCCTACTATTTTCTCCTTCCAGTAACCCCAGGAGACCTCGACTACACTGATGAAAGTGAGATAAGAAACTACGCGATGCAAGTAACCTCAAACGACCCTCTTATCCTCTATTTACTAACGACAACAACATCTGAATCATCTCTAATCGTCAACTAGACCACCTAATCAAACAGGTAATGTAGATCTTTTCTCTATACCTATTTAATTTTATTTAGTTCGAACATGCTTTAAATAATAATAAAAAAAAATCATTACTGAAATAATGAAAATGGTTGAATACCTCTTGAAGCTTAGTTACTTGCGTGATCTGCCTGTTTTGTTCTTTAAACACGAAGGGAGAAATACCCTTGGTTTATATGGTTCAATTAATTGCTTTTCGACAAAAATAGTCGATGGTTTCTCGTTCTTCTGGTGAATTCCTAATCCTCTCTTGTTCTTTTTCGTTTCTATCCCTAGTTCCTCTGGTCTCTCCCTATGATCCTCCCTTCTCTTTTTTTTCCTAATACTCTCTAACTCTCTTTGTCTGTGTAATCTCTCTGCTCTCTTTTCTTCTCCCCTTCTTCTGTGTTTTTCCTTGGTTTTTATTTTCACTGTCCCCCCTTTTCTTTTTGATTGTGTTGCCTTCTTTATTCCAATGGCAGTTAATTCCAATAAAACTGACCCTCCACGTTTTTTTTGGTTTTCAACTCCCAAAAACTACTTTCATTTGCCCATGATATAGGCCCAGACAAATTAAGCATCTACAGCTGCCCCTCTTTGCTCATTGTTGTGCAACGAGAATAGAGCAAAGATCAATAGATGATCAAGTTTGTCCGGCCATTAGAACTTCAAAAGATTAAACCGCTCCTCTGCTATTTCAGGATAAACGAGACTTGGAAAAATCTTCAAATGGCGGGTCTGCTCCCTATTCTTTCATGGAGTATAAGACTCGAACAATCTTCAGTAAACGTGTCTGCTCCCTATTCATTCAGGGAGTATAAGACTCGAGTAATCTTCAGTAAACGTGTCTGCTCTCTATTCCATCAGAGAGTATAAGACTCGAGTAATCTTCAGTAAACGTGTCTGCTCCCTATTCGTTCAGGAAGTATAAGACTCAAATAATCTTCAGTAAACGTGTCTGCTCTCTATTCCATCAGGGAGTATAAGACTCGATCTTCAAAAAACGTGTCCGCTCCCTATTCCTTCAGAGAGTATAGGACTCAATCTTCAACGAACTTGTCCGCTCCCTATTCCTTCAGAGAGTATAGGACTCAATCTTCAACGAACTTGTCCGCTCCCTATTCCTTCAGAGAGTATAGGACTCAATCTTCAACAAACTTGTCCGCTCCCTATTCTTTCAGGGAGTATAGGACTCAATCTTCAATAAACTTGTCCGCTCCCTATTCTTTCAGGGAGTATAGGACTCAATCTTCAATAAACTTGTCCGCTCCCTATTCATTCAGAGAGTATAGGACTCAATCTTCAACGAACTTGTCCGCTCCCTATTCCTTCAGAGAGTATAGGACTCAATCTTCAACAAACTTGTCCGCTCCCTATTCCTTCAGAGAGTATAGGACTCAATCTTCAACGAACTTGTCCGCTCCCTATTCCTTCAGAGAGTATAGGACTCAATCTTCAACGAACTTGTTTGCTTCACTACTCTTTCGTGAAGGCTTATAGATGATTTGCTTCAAAGGTTAAACCAGTTATCTTCATCTCGATGCTTTCATATCTTCAATCTTCAACTATCCCTGGGAAACCTGTAGATATTTAAGCCATCATGCAATTATGAATGCCATGATCCTACTCATGCCTAAAATGTATGCAATTATGCAATTCAATGCGTTTTCTTCTTTGAAGGAGCTCTATCTCCTTTTGATCTCAATGGAACTCGGCTTCATCTTGGGCACAGAACGTTTGACCAGTTCACCCCAGTTAACAATCTCAATTCCATATCTCTCGGCTTAACAGGGCCTTGACTTCTTTCTTTCCTGAAAACCTACCAGTATCCATGACCAAATTTTTGATCAATGATAACCTCCTTGGGTCATCTTTTAATGGCTGAGATTTTCTTTGAATTTGAGGATTTTAGTTTCCCATAGCCACACAAGCTTACATGTTTAAACCATTGTCAACTTCAGAATACCTGCATTTTCCAAAATCTTTTGCACAATAATACAAAATGATCTCATGTACTTCAAGTTAAGCTATATGTTTTAACCTTTCAAAATA